TCTTAATGCTCTTGATCCTAACAAGAGGGAGTTAAGATTAATGTTAGGAATGAGTCAACACTAAGAGAGGGGGGGGGGGGGAGGTGAATTAGTGTGGCGGTAAAATCACCGGTTTCGAAAAATTCTTCGTTTCGTAAATCTTTCATACGTTGAAACCAATTTGTAAAGATAGCTTGAAAGCGTATAGAAGAGCGTAAGTGTAGTAAAAGTACAGTAAGGAGTAGAGGCAGTTTGCTATAAAAGTAAATTGCTCAAAGTAAATGCAAACCGAGTTTATAGTGGTTCGATCATCGTGACCTACATCCACTCCCGATTCCTCCTCCATTAAGGCCACCGGCATCCACTATCAGTCTTCCTTCAATAGGCGAAGACCAACCACCTTTTACAACTCGATTCTCCTTTTACCGGGTTTAGGAGATAACCCTTACACTCCCCCCACTTACTCCTCTCTCAAACTATTCTAACACTTAGAACTTTGAGAGGAGTTTCACACAATTGTAATAGAGTTTTCTTTCTTTTTTTCTCTCAATTGTGTATTATTTAACCAGGGATAAGAGGGGTATTTATAGGCTTCAAGTTGATTCAAAATTGGAGCCTTAAAAGGTCTCATCCCAAGTTTCCTAGGTACTGGCGATACCATTGCCGCAGGATTTACCATTGGGCGGTACCACCGCTTGATAGGAGCGGTACCATCGCTGACGGCATTACTGCTGGTGGTACCACCGTCCAGATTTCCTAGGGTGCTATTCCCCAGGTGGTGCCATCGTCGGCCCTGGCGGTGCCACCACCGGCCAGGCTTTCAACACCCTGGTTGGGCCTTGAATCCGGCCCAAACCAGCCCAACTTTGGGCCCAATTGGGCACTAACAGAGTTGATGAGATTACCTCCCAATCCCAACTCTAATTATATACTAACTACGATTCCTAAGACATATTCTAAGCAAGATAAGTCTGGTTTCTTCTGACGATCTTTCGGTGAACTTTCGACGATCTCTCGGTAATGTTTCGGCAAACTCCCGGTAAGCTCCTGGACTTCACGATGATCTTCTTAGCGAGTTCCAATGAGCTTCTTTAGCAAGCTCCAAGACTCTCGGTCAATTCCAGTAGAACTTCCGACGAATGTCCGGACTTCTAACGAACTCTCGAACTCCCAATGAAATCGCGTTCTTGCTATCATAGTTAATCCTGCACACATAAAAAAATACTTCGATCTAGACAATTATTACTAAGAATGAATCATTTTGTCTGGCATGTCATTGGTCCATCGACTCTTCGTCTGATTCTTCGGTGCATCATCCGATCTTGTGGCCTATTACCTAATCGGCCAGTTGATCTCCGCAACTCCGATATCCTTATAGCAATATCCGCTCTTCTTGGCCCGATGCCCGAATCTATGGCCCGAAGCCTTCTGTCGATACGTCGACCAATCCTTCAGCCCGACATCCAATCTTTTGACACGTTTTCCTCCGGCCCAACATGATTCTTCCTGCTTTAATTGTCTCTCTCTGATCGAAACATCCTGCATCACTCAAAATGCAGATCAAATCATAAATACTTATTAATTGGTTTCATCATTAAAATTTGAGAGTCAACAATTAACTCCATCATCAATTGGTTATCATCATTAAAATAGGGGAGATTGTTGAATCTCGGATTTTAATGATGAAATCAATTAATGAGTTTACGATCTAATCCATGTTTTGAGAAAAGTGATGCAGGGCTAACCATGATCATGAAAAGGCAAAACAATTGAAGCAAGAGAATCAGACATTAGGCCGGAGTCAGAAAATGGGTATCGGGTCAGAAGAATCGAATATTGCGTTAAGATCGGATGTTGCGGGAGTCAACATACCGATAGATCAAGCGATATGCCAAAGGTTCGGATGATGCATCGAAAGTTCACTGAAAGTTCATCGGAAGTTCGTCGGGAGTTCGGATGAACAAATGACGTGTCGGATAATTGAGATTTCAATATTTATAATTGTTTTAAGTTTTAATTATCAGGTGTTAATTTTAGTTGATTTTAGGAGTAATCCTACTAACTCAATTAAGGGCCAATTGGACCTAATTTAAGGCTGAATTGGGCATGTTGTTTGGCTCATTCAATGGCATGTAGTAGGGTTTAGCGGTGGCATCGCCAAAAGCTCATACTCCTAAACATTGACTGGGTGGTGGTACCACCCAATGTTAGTGTTAGACTGGGCGATGGTATCGTCTAGTATCAAACTTACAAGCGATGGTACAGCTAGTTATCAGTCTAGCAAATGGTGGTACCGCCAGTACCCAAAAACTCTAGATGAGATATTTTTTGTTTTCATTTTTGAAGTCATTTGTGGCCTATAAATACCCCAATCTTTTTTGCTTGAAAAAGCACGAAAAATGAACAAAAGTCTTAGAGTTGTAAAAGTTTTGGAAAAGTACTAAGTGTCATCTTCTTCCTTAAGTTTTATGATCATTCTAAGAGAGGTGTAAGAGGGTAATTGGTCTTCGCTCATTGAAATAACATTAGTGAATGTCGATGGCCTCGACAGAAAAAGAATCAGGAATGGAGGTAGGTCACGACGACCGAACCACTATAAACTCGATTAGTATTTTTATTTATTATTTTCTATTATTATTTTATGAGTTAATTGCCCGGTTCACTTACTTTAAGTCAAGCACATTTCTGATACGATATTTCATTGAACGAAAATTTTTTAAATCGTCGAAGTTTTACAAAAACACTAATTCAACCTCCCCTCTTAGTATCAAAATAGTCCTAACAAAGATAATTTTATATAAGATCAATATATCTTTTAATATGTATTGTGAATGACTGCAATTCAAATGTAATGTTTTTTTTAAGTTAAACTATGAGAAGAGAGTAGTAAAGGAGTAGAATGCAAAAGAGAAAGAGTAGAGCGAATATGATGGGGGCATAGGGAGGAGATGAAAGTTGAGGAGAAAGCTAAGTGAACGGGGAGGAGAGATGAGGATGGGGAGAAGAGGAAGCCAGAAAAAAAAAAGAGAACGAAGAGGAGGAAATCAATAGGGAGAGAGAGGAGGCGGCGGCAGTGGAGATGGAGTGGGATGAGAGGGAGATGAAAGACAATTTGAGAAAATTAAAAATAATCTAGACTCAATTACATCAAATTAAATAATCAAGATTTAATTGAACCGATTTAATTGATTCATCTAAAAAAATCAATTTAATTCTAAAAAATCAAATTAAATCCAATCAAAGACAATCATTATTTTTTTTTTATGATTTTATCAAAACCCCCAAGAAAGATCCCCCGATTGAAAGACCAAATATAAAAGCATCTTTGATAAAAGTTCATTAATATAGACCTTTTTAGGTAAATTAGCCAAGATTTGTTAGCTCAATATTCTTTGCTTTTGATCACAACTCATGCCAACTTTAGATGTATTTTTTATTAAAATAAGTTTGGTAAAATCATTTCTCGACAAATATTGATAAAAGCATCCTCAATGACAAAATTACGAAAAGTGATAATGATGATGACATAAGATTTATGATGATAGCAATAACATCAAATAATGACACTATCAAGTGATGATGATAATAACAATCCCCAGAGAGAACATTTTATACAACATTTCACAAAGATATAGCATTTATGTCACTGTAAGCACTCTCACTGCAGACGCCAAAGAACATAAAACAAGATCGGCCCATTGGACAAAGCTTCCATCAATGTAACGTTCGAGAAAGATCATTTTATCCTGCAAATAGAGAGGATTTGAACCCGAGTAACATTACTACTACAAGGTAATCAGGCTTACGTCCATCAAATGACATGCCAATAAAATATGTTATTGCAGATGTCCAGCATTCCTTACAACTTACCTTCATTCATACCTTAAACAATTAATTTTAGCATCTCAATTCTCTAGGGTCAGGTATCCTTCAAGAACAAAGAGTTCAGGAAACATAGAAATAGATACAGTAGGGAACGGCTTATCTCTTCAGAACCTAGAAAACCATCAAAAACTTGCATGGATCATAAAAATGTAATATACACAGACAAAACTCACACCCCCCCCCCCCCTGCACAAGATCCGCTGATGCAAATGATCTTCTTGCCTCACATATCTGGGTATCAAGGCTTCTGTCTTGACAAAGCTAATACTGGAAATGGCACCGTCACTCTAATTTTTTCACAGCCTTGAAAGATACTCAAGTACAACGTACAATTAACATTCATTCACCTTTAACCCTGGAATTTCAAATGTGCAGTTAGTTGATTACACCAAACTGTAAAACCAGCAGAGGTTGTTTTTGTCTTAAAGACATGAACTTACATAAATGGAGCAACAGTTTCACTAGTTCTAGATATGTTATTAGCAATACCAGATTTTGCATCCTCCTCGTTGTCATCATTGCATGATGAGAGCACCCTTCTCTGCATGAAAGTAAACATGTTCAAGTTAACCAACTATTTCTCGTAGCATGAGACTGAAGAACTTGATCATAATTCAACTGCACAGATTAAACACTGATGATGAACATTGTGACTAATGCATAAAAAACAAATAACTATGAGAAAAACAGTCTTTGACCATCGAAGCTATGTCTGGAAAAGAATACAGTCATTGATTGATGCATTTTCCATTCCTATCGAAGCAAGCATTAGAAGAACTACAATGTACATGCAGAAAATTCAATTGATAATCATAGAGAAAGATCCTGAATTTGTAAAACTTGAAGGAACCAAAACCTACTAGCCAGCAAATTCTAAGAAACTATTTAAAGTGAATGATTAGATGACACTCACATGGGCTTCAAAGTCGGGGCTATTCAAGTTGATAGATAAGTTCCTCATCAACAACAACACCTGCACATTAATGGTATAAAACATTGCTTATTAGGAGGAACATTGAGAAGCACATGCATAAACCATGCACTAATTACCTACAATGGAGGATAGTAACAAAAATATTCTTGATAAACATACTACAGATAAATAAGTGATCAAGACATTTATGGAAACAATATGAACTGTGAATTTAATACAAGGTCAAGATTTCCCCCGTTACCTCCAAAGTTATTAAAAAATGACTAGTGAAGTACCATTTGACATTTGCTGGTCATGCACTGGTGTGATACAGTATTGTGCTTGATACATGTCAAGGCACATTATTAAAGTGTCACAGACCAACATAAACCTGAAAGTGCAAATGCAGCATGCATAGTTTGGAGGCTGCCTCAGTCCTAAGATGGTGTTTTAGAACCCCAGCAAATCAGCCATATGAACAACCACCATCATGCTACTCTTCATCAAATACAAAGTCAAAGGCACCTTTCTTTAAGCACATCATAATATATAACTGGTTTGGAAACAAACACCGATAACATACCAGGTGAGAAATGTATGTTGCATTTCTTACTAACAAAGCTGAAAGAACTAGATTTTATACTCAAGTACAAAATCATGGAATATATGCTGTCCTAAAAAGGTGAGAACCAAACATGAAACCCACTAATGTTTTGTAACTAGCAAATGCTTTCCAACAGAATGCAACTATGATTATGTAATTAACACGTTTCAAAAAAAGGAAAAAGCATCCATTGGAGACCAAATAAGAATAACAACCATTTTACCTAGACAAACTAATTTCCTGCGAAAGCATTAACTTTTCTTCAAGATATACAAGAACTGTAAATTTTTTGTTTGAAAGATAGCATACTGTTTCAACATCAATGGGATCCATCTCTTTCAGTCTTTGCAGGTGACCAGTAGTGCTAGGATCAAAGACACTTCCAAGAAAGTTGTACACCTGAGCAAAGTCTGGCATAACTTCACAAAAACACAAAACCAAAGATAAGAAAGTATGAATAGAATGAGCAAGATTGATATAAATAGCATTTTGCCTGAAACAAAGGTTCAGAATTAAAAAAGAAAAATCTTTTTGGTATGAATGATGAAATAGTTTACTATTATCATTTTGAGAACTTCCTAGGAACAGTTTCCATCCATGACTTCAAGGATGATGTGATCATTCTCCTAGCTTCATCAAACATTAACATGTTTCTTTTTCTTTTCCTTTTAACATTGACTTGTTCTTGCAATCTAAGTGATCTCTGATATAGAAAGCGTATTTATGAGGCATAAATGAGAGCTCACCACGAAGAGTTGTGACATGATTTTCTTGATCAGCCAAATCACAATTAGGCCAGGTTGTACGACTTATCGCGCTGCTAGAGCAGCAATTGTTTACCGCCAATGCTCCAGAAGGTCCTGCGCCACCTGCAAAACTAAGGCCTTACAACGTGTCTGTGGAAAAAGAAAAGATCGAACCACTGAAGACAGAATACTAAACCTGTTGTCAGATGAGATGTACTGACAGGATGCAATTTGTGAACTCCAGAAGGCATTGGCCCATTTGCGGTAGAGCTTCTGGGCGTGGAAGATGTATCTATTGCAAAAGTATAGCCTGGTTCAAGCAAACAGGAAGTCTGGAGTGGAGTAGTGCCTTGAGATATCTGTGAAGCTGCAATTACAAGAATACCTGTAAGTTGGATTACAACTTGAAATTAAAGTATTAACATGAACAAGCCTCACCATTTTTAGGTGCTTTCTGTGGATATGGATGAGATGCTTTTCGCTTAGGCCGAGGTGGAGGTACATGATCACTTGTACCAGTCTTCTGAACCTTCAAAAAGTACTTCTGTGCATGGCTCCTTATCTGCAAGAACCCATTTTAGAATTTTGATTTTGACAAATATTAAGGACCCTGGGTTTTTCACATATTTGATATGTCCCATTAATACACTAGTGGGTCCTTAATGGTGCTTTGAAATGTAGAAAGCTGAAAGATGATTTCAAGAATGAGATCTACATTGTAGACTTCTCTTACAATTGTCTGTCGACTCTGTGCGATTACCAGATGCTCTCTATTTATAGAAAATAAGTGTTTGTAGTGCTTGTCCAGAACATCAACTTTAAACAATCAAAATTCAGAAGATCAGACTCCGCCAAATTTCTCTTGCAACTAAACATCTCCAAAGGCTCAGAGAGGCATCTATTAACTAACAAGTGAAAATGAATTTCTTATAACCATTATGTAAGAGCTGCCCAGAAACCTTGTTGACAGCCATGTAAATGAGTAGACTAGAACATGATTATCCACCAAAGGTCATAGAGACACCTCTATAACTGAATAAGGCAGGTATAGAAGAAGGGAGGATGACAAGCTTCCTCAGAGTAAATTAAAGGCACACATAAGCCAGCAACCCTTTCACCAAAACATACTATCCTTTTCTATATATTGAAAATCCATTCCGTGATAATATTTAAAGATAGAAGTTTGTAGAAAAAAAGGAGAAAATTTTGATGTTGTTGGTATGTTTTCCCCTTTTCTCTTAGTTCTTCACATATACTTCTTGATGGAAATATAGCTTGTCTGCAAATTACCTGGATGACAGTCTTTGAGCCAACAAATGCTTCTATCTTTTTCCAGTCACGGTCAAAACTGCAAAAAGAAGAAGAGGAACATTGTTATAGTTATAAAGCCTATAGTGTTATTCATGCACAAAGTTAGTTATACACTAATCAGATGTCATGCCGCTTTTACACATTAAAGTTGTTACGGTAAATAATACCCAGTGAAGCATACCCTAGAACTTTCTAAGTCCTAACAACATTTGTAGATACAAGGTTATGAGAACTGACCACAAAAGCTGTTAAATATAGTAGATGAAAACCAATGGGCTAACTCAAATTTCAAATAAATGATTTAGTTGTATTCTGCCGAATGAGAAATTAATAGCAGTTACCTTGTCATCTGCACCAAGAAATTGTGTTTCTAGTATACATCTTAAATTATTACTATTCTCAAATCTATGTTTATTGTCTTTGATCAAACATCAAAACTTAAAGCATAGAGGTAGAATATGATGGACAAAGTACTGATTAGTATTAAAATAATTGTTAATATACTGAAGAAAATAGGTCTCAATGAAGCTATAAATACCAATAAATACTATGTAATTATATTAAGCATAGGCATGAACTACAATTCTAACTTTCCTCTTAGCATATTTTCAAAAGAACGAACAAAATGTCAAGGCTGAGCATAAGAGAACCGCATATCTGGCTTCACCATTGAGAGGCAAACAGTCTATTTGTATTGCTCTTTAGGGGCAAAGCTTGGTTCTATACAAAAGGGAGGTATTGGTGCAGCAAAGCAATCAAAAGCTTGTTACATCATAATTGAGCATCATGGAGGAAAACTGACAAATTCTCTCTAGATCATGTTGTTAAAATCCACTGAAATTGATGGAAGAGTTTGAGATGCAAGTGGGCCAACTTCACACTTAATTCTGCTGTATGTGATCTTCTATAAAAATACAACCTCACATGTTGTACTTTAGAAACCCTTCTTAAGATTGAGGCAACAAGATGGGCAATTGTTGCTCGGTAAAATGATAATTGTAAGCTCAAGAGAGTTAATAACAATAATCACCAAATATGTGCTCAACTCTCTTCTGCACCCATAATGCTCTGATTCTACTCAAATGTAATGTGCAAAGGCTGATTTACTCTTTGCAAGTTGATTTTGAGCTTAAATTTGTTCTCCTTTCCCAACATGAGGTCATAATATCCCATGGATCATTACTACTCACCAGTAACAGAAGTTTACACAGTATCTATAAACAAGAAGTTCCCTAAGCCACATATAATGTTTCCTGGTCTCGTATGGAAATTGCTTGGAGAAGCGTCCATTATCACTGATAAATTAGCCAGGACATTGTCGTCTAAAGGAAAATTCCTGTTATTTCATCCACTATCACAAAGGAGAGCCAAAATGCAATCCTCATAATTCTACTTAGAGATACACACAAAGGAAAGACAAGGCCTTTAGTAGAATCTTTAGTTTTAGCATAATTATCTTCTGTAATGGACAAAAAGAAAAAGGGGAATCCTCGCTAAACAATCTAAAAAAGAAAGGAAGCAAGATCATCGACGCTGGATTCTTAACAAGGTCAACTGAAGCAACTTCATCAGCAACAACCAAATCCTTTACAGCATCAGGCAGATATAAGTTGAACGACCAGAAAGTAATCAATGATGGCGATAACCCCAATTTCCAGCCACTATGGCCAGACTATGACAACTCCTATTGTAAAGGATGGTAACGGATCCCAAATTCTACATATCATCATAGGAATTAAGCAAACAGAGTCCCGCATGACCAAGAACACAATACAACCATGACTAAAAGATGCTAATTTTAGAGACGATAACTGCAAACATAGCACCAGATCCGCAAGAACTTTCCATATGAGAAACCAAGTGTAGCCCCAAGTTCCCATCAAAAACTACAGAAAGCCAAGACCGATCCCAGCAAAAGCGCAAGTTTTCCTTACAGTTGGAGGGCTTCGAGGAACTTGTCGTGCTCCTGCTCGGTCCAGCTCTCGCGGGACTTGGTGATGGTGTAGGGCTTCCGGACCTTCTTGCTGGGGTCCTCCGCAGCGGCAGCTGCGGGGGTCAGGAGGCCGGCCGCGCCAGGGAGGGCCATGGAGGAGAGGCCCGGGAGGTCGTGGGGGAAGAAGACCACCGACGACGCTGCTGCTTCTCGTCCGCCGCCGCCTTGGGCTGCCTTGGCGTGAACAGACACCATAAAAGGGGGCAGAGATATCGGGGGATGTAGCAAGCGAAGGAAAAGGGAGGCGGAGTAAGAGGTGGAAGGGGTGGTGGGATGGCGTCGACTTTACATACTTGGCGCTGCTGCGGCCACCATTCCAATATAATATATTTGCTTGGCTTGTGTGTTAGAGCGCAGGAATTTTACCGGAGACGGAACGGGGGTTGGATGGAAGCGAAGGTGGACAAGTGGCAGGAGGGAGGGAGGTGGGGCCCGTTTCCCGTCTCTGCGACCGCAATCCTTTGTTGCGGATGACCGTACAGAACGCCATATCTCTGCGGACGCATCGGTCACCGTTAGAAAAAACCAAAGAAATGCATAACGTTACGTCCGATCGTGATGAGAACAAGACATGTAATTGGTTGATAACTACTGTTGTAGCAGCTTAAACAAAGAGTTGGAATCCTTGTCATTGCGTCACCAATCCCTGAAATTGACCCACGGTGAGAAAAGATGATGTCACCTTAATCAGTTTATATATATATATATATATATATATATATATATATATATATTAAAAATAGTTTAGCTTGTTACCAATATCGAGCAAACCCTTCCTGCGATGATCTGCTTCCAGAAATCTTATCGCTCGACAGTTTTGATTCTGTCTAATTTGGAACTAGAATCAAATTAGTTCCGAGTGATTCTGATTTCGCTTCACGAACAAATCTTATTAAGTTGATAATTCTGGTTCCGTTTTCAATTTTGAACTGAAATTATCTTTGATTTGTCGTTTATTAAAGGATTATAAAAAGGTGATTCATCATTTGCAGAAATATCTAGGTTTTTTTTTTTTCCGACTGATTTGTGATTAAATCGAAATCACCGATTCTGATTTTATTAGATTCCATGAACCAAAACTGAATCATAAGAAATCGATTTCACTTAGATTCAAAATTATTGAACCGTTTACCCAGTTCGATTTTGATTCTTAGTCGGTTCAATTCCTACTCAAACTGGACGATGACCGGGTCTATGATCAAGTGCATATGTATTACTTCCGTATCGAACAACGTCTCTAAGTCCTCTGGATGACTGCCTTTACCACCTGTAACAATGGGATACAGCTTGCTGTAGAAAAAAATAAAAATAAATAAAACAATAGATGGAAAATAAGAGGCATAATCCATAAATCTAAATCAGAAACAGAGAATAAAAGGAGTAACAGGATTTGGACCATTTGGGCTTGATGATATGCGGTGTAGCGTTATCTATATATCTACCAAGAGAGGGTATGCAATCTGAAGCCTAACGACCGATGAAATTTGAGAATCTACTTGTCTCTGTTTTGGATTTCCAGTATGCAGTTGAATTCAACTACACTTGCGAAAGGGCAAGTACAAAAAAAAAAAAAGAGCAACAAAATAGCTTTATCCTGCTGCTGAGCATCCCCATAGTCCTTGATTCAGCTGACAGCAACAAGCAGACACAACCCTGTCATCAGCAAAAACAAATGAACGTACCAGTCAACCAAATCCCATGAGGCATAAGGAGAATAGTAGGATTTTACCCGGCTTTCCCAATCCAAGGGTATCATAGTTTGCGGTTGATGTAATGAAATATCGTGTGCATTGTTTACCTCGGATACGTGGGCTTGCGGTATGATTTATGGTATGGGGCAATGTACACCTCCTGGAAATCTGGGAAGAGGCAACTGTTTCAGCAAGTTCAATGGATTTGGCATTTACTGTAACTTCAAATGGCAAGCACCGGGTTCATGTGTGGTTGACGACCATGGTTTAAAGTAATACAAGGAATCGCATTTTGAATAGAACTTCAGTGAAAGTCACGATGGATGCCTTCAGGACCAATAAACCTCGTCTGTTGACTCCCTGTTTGAGAGATGATGCAACGAGAAGACGTCCTTGCCTGCGGTGACTCCTGTATCTTAACCAACCAGGTCATAGGTAGGGGCTACGAACAGGAGGGAAGCTATCCAGTTCAGTTCAGACGGTGGAATGCGTTGTGCATGTATTTTTTATCATCGAGACGTTCTTTTCGGATAGCATTGAATTCTCCTCCATCCGAAAAGCTCTGTACAGAGATTGGGGATTGTGCTGCTGCCCCAAAATAATGGATCGAAATTAGGATCTCCAGACGTTCCGAAAAATCTATCAAAGCATCCGATATGTGTACCAGTGGATGTCATTGACACCATCTCCTGTTTCTTTGTCCCCTTCTGTATCAAAGGTAGCAGATGCCATGCGTGATCGTCGACATCAGAATTTTTCTGTCTCAGCTTTCCAATTGCCGTCGTCTAAAGTCCCTGAACAGCAGCGTGTTGCAGATTTGAACTGTTACCCTCGATGTCCGCCAAGATAATACGACTCAAGTTGCTAAGTTTGTCTTACTAATGAAATATTATTTTAATTTGAATTCAATATTCTATCAATATTATATATTGATAGGGGAGTTAAGATTAACTCATTAATTGATTATCATTATCAAAAGGAAAAGATTGTTGAATTTTAAATTTCGATGATGAAACCAATTGATAGTGTTTATGATTTGATTTGTGTTTTGAGTAACGTAGGAAGCTACGATCAGGGAGAGATAATTAAAAGCAAGAAGAATCATGTTGGGTCGGAGTGGAACATGTCAGAAGATTGGACGATGAGCTGGAAGACCGGTCGACATATCGATAAAAGGCTTCAGGCCATAGGTTAGAGCATCGGACCAAGAAGAGCAAAAATTGCACCAAGGAAATTGAAGTTGCGGAGGTCAACTGGCCGATTGGACAATAGGCCGTAAGAGAGGATGATGCACCGAAGAATCGAACGAAGCATCGATGAACCAATGACATACCATACAACATTTAATTCAAACCTTATAATAATTATCTAGATCGAAGTAGGTTTTAAGTGTGCTAGATTAACTACAATAGCGATCAAGGCATAAAGCAAAATGAAGTCCCGGAGTCAAGAACAAGATTTCATTAGGAGTTCGAGAGTCAATTAGAAGTTTGGACGTCTGTCGGAAGTTCTATCGGAATTGACCGAGAAGTCCAGGAGCTTGCCAAAGAAGCTCATCGGAACTTGCCAAGAAGATCATTATAAATTCCAAGAGCTTACTAGGAGTTCGCTAGAACATTGCCGAGAGATTATCGGAAGTTCGCCAGAAGATCGCTAGAAGCTCACCGGAAGAAACTGAGACTTACTAGACTTATTTAACTTAGTGTATGCTTTAAAATTTGTAGTTAGCACTTAATTGGATTACAATTGGGCCAACTCAATTAGAGGCTAATTGGGCTATGTTGGGCCAAGTGAAAAGGACTAAACAGTGACCCAACAAGTGGAACCGTCATGGCATAGTCTCCGAGACTATGTTAGGCGATGGTACCACCGGTCTAGGCGATGGTACCACCGGTCTAGGCGATGGTACTGCCCAAACACAATCTCTGAGAGACTGTCAGGCAGTGAAACCACCAGACTATGCAGTGATACCACCCAATGGCAGGGTGTCAAGCAGTGGTACCGCTAGACTAGGCGGTGGTACCGCCCAACACAAGTGGTGGTATCGCTAGTATCCCGAAAACCAAGGATGAGACATTTTTAGGCTCCAAGTTTGAATCCACTTGAGGCCTATAAATACTCCTCTCATCCTTGGTTAACACACATAAGAATTGAGAGAAAAAAAATAGAAAAATATTATTGTAATCTTATGAAAACTCCTCTCAAGCTCTAAGTGTTAGTCTTGTTTAAGAGATGAGTGAAGGGGTTGTAAAGGTTCTCTCCTAAACCTGTCAAAAAGATAATCGAGTTATAAGGGTAGTTGATCTTCACCCATTGAAGGAAGATCATTAGTGGATGCTGGTGGCCTCGACGAAAGTAGAATCGGTGGAGTGGATGTAGGTCACGACGACCGAACCACTATAAAATGGTTTACATTTCTATTTTGCTATTTACATTTATTGCAAACTACCATACTTCCTCATTACTTTAGCTGCACACACTTATGAATGTGTTTCAAGTTAGTATCTTTCTAAAATTAGTTTTAATTGAATGAAAGATTTTTGAACCGACATAATTTTATCTACTGCACTAATTCACCCCCCTTCCCCTTTAGTGCCGCTCTAAATCCTAACAAATATTGCCTCTCTTGAGATGTGCGAGATAGCACTTTTGCTTCCTAGTAAGTTTTTCTCCTTGAAATGTACAAGCTAACAATTTTTCTCCCCCTTTGTCATTGTCAAAAAAAAAAGGGAAGAATACAACGTTATAATATTTTTCCCTTTACATTAATTTTCAAATCATGACAAAGATAAAGTATCATTCTTAATTCAATATGTTTATGCATCATTATAGTTTCAAATTAAAACATGCACAATTTTAAAACCTTATATTTCATCCTTACTTCATGCACGATACCAAAAATAAATCAATCATCACTATTGGCATATTACTGAAGCATTAAAATTTTTAAGCATTTATCACTTCATGCATTAAATCAACATTTTGATCATGGTACTAAACATTCATCATTTCTCCCATGCATGATACTAAAGCATTCAAGATACCAAACATTAAATCAATATTTTTAAGCATTTATTGTTAGGATCGAGTCGGTACTAAGAAGGGGGGGGGGGTGAATTAGTACAGCGGATAAAAACATCAGTTTTGAAAATCTTCGTATGATAAAAACTGATTTCGATGAAAACTATTTATTTGACTCATATAAGTTTGCAAGTGAATAGAGAATAGAAGATTGAATAGTTTGCAATGCAGTAAACAAAATAAGCAGTAAGGAAAGAATACATCGAAATTTATAGTGGTTTGATCGTCGTGACCTACATCTACTCCCGATTCCGCTTCCATCCAGGCCATCGGCATCCACTAATAGTCTTCCTTCAATAGGCAAAGACCAACCTCCTTCTTATAACTCTATTCTCCTTTTGCAGGCTGAGGAGAGAACCTTTACACCCTCATTACCTCCACTTTTAAACTTCACTAACACTTAGAGTTTGAGAGGAGTTCTCACAAGATTATAATAGTATTTTCTTACTTTCTTGCTCTCAATTCTTGTGTATGTTAACTAGAGATGAGTAGGCCATTTATAGGCCTCAATTGGATTCAAACTTAGAGCCTAAAAGTGTCTCACCC